TCAGATGCCAAAGCTAATTCTGTCAGACAACACGTCTTTCCACCCGTCCGATCAATTGATAAAACCCCATTTGATGCTTGACTTATAAACTCAAATCCAAACTGCTCTTCTGGGGTTTTTTTATTACCCAACTCCACTAGTTGTATATTCTGCTATACATGACTGGAGTTCAGCATCAAAAATGTAACATCTTTGGCAACGTTTGTGTTTTTAGTGTTCTAAGCTCTTCTGGTTCTTTTTTTTTTCTTTATCAGTATTTTGACATATTTTCAATTTTAGTCAGTCTGATTATTGCTTTCCTGAGCTTCAAACTTTACTAACTTTAAAAACTAATGTGTGCAACTATAAGGTGTACTTTATTCTCAAACTGAAAGCCATGGTGATAAGCGCTACCACAGAGTCTGAATTTCTTTATCAAGAGGATTATCTTCTGAACTTAGCATGAGGACAGGATGTTATTTTGCTGAATAATGATGTGACGCTGTTCATTTAACCGTCGTTTTTATGAGCTGTATCTCATCATATTCTGTCTATGCGTGAATTCAAAGAGACCTTGTGCGAAGAAAAGCAGACCCAAACAGATTCATGGTGAACTCTCTGCAACCTGCCAGCTCCTTGCAAGATTTTTCTGTGTAGCAGCTCCCTCCTATTGATATGAGCGCTTCAGGGCTTAAATTATTCAGCAGGAAATAAAGGTGCAACCTGAGTGTTTGCAGATAATTCACCCCTGGAATTTGATTACAATTGGAACTGGCAGGTTTGAAAAATAGTATAGAACCTCATACATTTTGAGAATAATTAACACTACAAGCTAAATTAAAGACAACAATACATGTTGTGAACATTTTGTATACATCCAGTTATGTGTAAATATTGTTTAGCTTTTATAACATTGTAGCTGTTAATTAAAAATATATTTCTGACCCTCTTATTTTGATAAGATTATCTTCCCCTCTTAAAAGAATCTCACATAGATGGAAAACACAGATAAAACATCAGTTATCTTAATTAATCCTTATCATCGTTTTTAAGATAATGATGTGCTTTTATGTAATGCAGGTTCTTAAAGACCTGAAGGCTTCTGAAGTGAAGCTCATAAAAAAGCTTATATCTGGGACCAGCTTAAAGTTTATTTTCCTGTAATTTAAAGCATTAAGAGGGATGTGGAAAAACAGGAGTTAAGTATTTCTTCGTTAGTCATATAGTTTTCGTGCATTTCTTTGCATTTCTTATTCAAAATAAATATTAACTCTCTTTAAGAAGATGTTGAACAAAAAGATAAATATAATTTTATAGAAATTTGAATTAGGGTTTACCTACAGCAAAAATAAACACAAGAGCATTTACATTCCCCTGAACACTTCCTTGTTATTTTAAAATGCCTTGATTTGCTTATTATATCCCTATAATAATATTTATTATGTGGAAGATAAATGTTTGTTTGATCCATTATATACTGTCATTGTTCATAGCTTGACATGATTTTTTATACCGTATGTTAAGGTATTAAGAGTCCTTTTATAACGTACACATAGGACATTCTTCAAGCATTTTTAAAAGTATGTAGTATAACTGTATTCGTTTCCTGCTCCATATAAAGTGTATTTTCATACATAGGCCATCTTTAAATGTGTAAGATCAATAAAATCCAAAGTGTGCTTTGAGAATGATGCACATACGATAGTAAGGACACTGCAAAGCGTTTCTTTTGCACTTTGCATCAAGGCAAAACATGGGTGATATCAATTTCTCCTTATCACCATCACTGTATTCTGCTTTGGGGATGTTTCCAGCAGCATTTCTCCTCCTGCAACATGCTTCAGAGATCTAGTGCCCCCTGAGATAAAAACCAATCTCTGACATGAAACTGGAGCCGTGAGGAAATATCAAAGAGCATAACTGAATCTGAGAGTCAAGAGAGGAGAGTGGAAAAAAAACAAAAACCCTTTGGCTTTGTGAGCCAAATTCGAGCCTGAATATCAGTCTAATGGACTGTAAGTAACACCACTGCTGTGGAGCAGCTATATGAGTCAGGACACAGGCTGAAATAAAATTAAACAAACCAATTATTACTTCCTTTCATGAGGTTTTCCGCAATTTATTACATATTGTTTAGATTACTGGAAATGCTCTTTTTTGTGTTTTTCTCAGGCTAGGTGGTATAAATTGAGACTTCATGCTTGCTTTGTTCATTTGCAAAATGAAAAAAAAATAATAATAATAAATAATGATTACAAACAAAGTATAAGAAAGAAAGTCCTGTATAAAACAGTGAATTTGTCTGATTTTAACCTCTTCTATCAAATTCATCTTAAAACATGGTTTGTAGCCGTCTGAATAATTCCCTGCCATACACTTTACTCTGCTGTGCCTGCCTCTGATTAAACACTAAGGATACAGAGTTTTGGAAATTATTCATGCAGGTATAACAAATCTAAAAGAAATTGTTTAAAGATCTTGGTCTGGAGACGGGTAATTGTGTACATATTTAATTTTGTTTTTAGGATTACCTGTATAATGTTTGTTGGACGTTTAAAATGTTTCAAAGAAGTAATAGCTGCCTGATTTCTTTCTCTGTTTGTCATGATCTGTGTCCTTCTGGACCTTTTGGTTTTGTGTAAGTTTTAATTTTGGGTCCTCAGTTATGCTTTATTATCTTATTCAGTATTGTCAAGATTTATATAATTTTTGAACCATTAGTGTTAGTCTTCCTTGTTATATCTTTTCAGCATTTTTTTCTATTATTTATTCTTTAGTCTAGTTTTAGTTGGCTATTCTTTCTTTTATCCTTTTTTTTTCATGGCTTCAGTTATTTACAGTTCCTTTGCTTATCTTCTAGTTTTCCCCTTGGTTATTCCTTATTTTTTAGTCATTTTTTATTTTATAGTTACAGTTACACCATGTTTCACCTGGTTACTCTTTGTTGCCCCCTAGTGCCCCTTTCGTTTCCCCTTAGCTCCTTTCTAGCTGCTTCTGTACACACCTGCTCCCAATTACTTGATTACTCCACTCCTTGTTCTGTCTCCCACATATAATCCTCCTATGAAGTTGCTCAGTGCTGCGTTCTTTTCATTTCTTCTTGTATGTTTCTCCTGAGTGTCTCTAGTTCTTGGTTCTGGAGTTCCTGGCCTGTTTATTTCTGGATTTATGCCAACATTAAATGCAAAATCTATATCTCTGCCTCCTCAACTCTGCATTTGGGTCCACAACAAAGTCCAACAACCTTGACAATGTTGTGATGTTTCTGTAACTTTTAAGTATTTAAGATAATCCAACTGGATTCAGTTCTGATTACTCTAAGTAATAAAAAAGGGAAATTATTAAAACAAAAAACATCCAAACCTATGAGGCAGTTTAATGCTTAAACCTCTTAAACGTAATAAATGGTTATGCTACCTTTGACCATGAAAAATACTTTTAAATGTTTATGATAGCTTGAGAAAAAGTTTAAAAATATCTTCTGATCACTTTTTGCCTACTCTTTTTTTATTTTATTTTGCAATATTTGGTGGTTCACAAGCTTTAGGGGCACATTTAAGGTAAAATTTTAGCTCAGGCTATTCTGTGACCTTCATTTTGTTTCCTTTAAGCATGTCAGAGGGTGACTTGCTAGGTTATGCATCATCCTGCTGCATAACCCAGATAAACACATTGTCACACACTGATTAAGGGACATTCTGTGTTTCTATTGTCTACTAGAGAGCAGAATTTATGGTTCTATTAATGTCTGCAGGTTGCCCAGGTCTTGAAGAGGTACCATCACATTGCCATCACCATGTTACACTACAATATTTGTTTATTTGAAAAGCTGTCAGTATTGCCCTATACTCTATAATTTAAAGAACTCTTCCCTCTTCACAAGTTCAACTTTTGCCTCATCTGTTCCTTAATTAGTATCCTTAAGTTTTGAAGACCATGGTAATGTTTATTTGGGGAATATGAGATGATCCTTTGCTTCTGTTTTGATCAGCATTGGTTTTGGTGTTTAAACTCCATCATGGATGCTGTTTTCCTCCGCCTTTGTTTGCTGAATTTCACATGTTGTTCTTCACTCTTTTGTAACTTCCTAGACATGTTAAGATTGCACTCATATATTAATTTGGTTAGGCTGGTCACTCCTGGGAAGGTTACCTACTTTACCATGGTTTCATAGTTATTGACTCTCATTGTGGTCTATTGGAGTTTCCAGCATAACTTTGTAATCATCTCCAGACTGATGGATGTAAACAGCTTTGTTTCTCATCAGGGCATAAAATGTCAACTTTGAAATCTTTTAGGCCACTTTGTGTTGGGCATTGGTTTTATTTAAGTGATTTTGTATTTAATTGGTTTCACCAAAAATGTGTTTATCCACAAGGGTATAAGCTAATATTACACATTGGGCCTTCCTCTGAATTTTGCCTTAACAGATAAAGTCATGCGCTGGAAACTTTTTTCTTTATCTAGAAACTTTTTTTTAGCTATCTAGAAACAATCATGCTCGACAGGAAAGGATCTTTGAAGGGAAATTGTTTATAGACTGTATCTGTATACAGTATGACCATCAGAAGTTCTGTCATCCTAGTATGATTTGTGTTAAAATCCTAATTTAGTCTTCTTCAGCTTTTGCTAAGATCCCAAACCCTTAAAAGCTGATTATATTTTCTTTGCTGAAAGTTAAATAAAAAACATGGGGTTATGCTCTTCTCTCATTTTTCTTTCTTTGTTGCCTTGCAGACAGAGTCAAGGCAAAAATGTTAGCAAAAGAGGATGAATGAACTGCTGGATCTTTGCTATAGCTGCACTTTAAAAAGTGATGTAACAACTTTTAATACTGAATAAACTGTTTTAATATACTTGAATGTTTTATTTCGACTGTTCAAAAGATCATTTTCTTTCAGCAACAATTTTACAAACAAACTCATATATCAAAATGGAGCAATCTACAAACCAATTACTCAAGAATACTCCTGTTATTTTGAAAATTCACTCCCTAATGATGAAAAAAGCTTTTTCCCAAGCAGTTTGCAAATCAGACCACTTTGACTTTTATTCAATCAATGTCAGGACATTAAAGATGCATTTCAAAATAAACAAGAACATGATGTCAGTCCAGTGCAGTTAAGACAGCACTTCTTCAGGTCTTTTTCACTGCCAGCTGGTTCAGAAATCTCTCAGCTCCGTGTTGAATAAGGCCTCAACTGACTGCTCAGACTGTGGTTACCCTCATGACCAGCTCTCTTGTGCTATTGCTGGGTTGGCTGCGAGCCTCCGGCTGCCTCAGGTGGCTGAGTAGGTGGAGGATGTTGTAGGGACAGTGTTGGTCGGGTACCGTGGTGCCGCTCTCAGGATCTATGTGTGCTCCGAATTCCCCTGGGGCGGTCACAACGGCTGTGGAAGTGGAGCCATCAGCTGTGGAGGCCACCACCATCAGGGAGGAGTTGGAGGCAGACGCTCCAATCCCATTCTGGTAGCCCTGACCGGGCTGAGACAGAGTCCTGTCCACGACAGCTTCCTTCAGGTCGTCACTGTCCAGCGATTTGTCATAGTTCAAAACCTTCCACTGCTGGTTGACGGCCTGCCAGCGGTGAAAGATGCGAAACACAGAGGGTCCTTCGTGGACAATTAATGCTGTGGAAAAGAGAGTTGCAGGGGGACAAAGTCAGTGTCTGGCTCTAGTCTTAATGACACCACAGAGTGATACCTCTGCGGTGTTAAATCCAGCAGAAACTTTAAGCCGACACAGTGGCAGAACAAAACAAACTCATTCTTCAAGCACCTCCCCATAAAGCCGAGATAAAATCTTTATTTGTACCATCAAGTAAAGCCACAGAGTGAACTTACGACACTGCAACAATCACTGGTGTTTCGGATTTAGGTCGACAAAAAACGATGCATCTGCTCTCTGCAGTTGTTCGATAACATTGTATCTTTGCCCAAAATTACTTATTGATTCATGTTCATTGAAGTCAGTATCTGGAAAATTAGAGTGAGCTTTGCCAGCAGTTGCCTGGAACCAGTGGAGCGGGGGGTGGGGGGGGGGGGGGGGGGGGGGGGGGTTGGGGGGGGGGGGGGGGTGATTTTGGGGCTTAAATCTGGAATGGTTTTCAAAAGCCCTGGATCTATTTTTTTTTAATGTTTTTTACATTTTTATTACAGCCGAAAACCCTTTTGACCCTTCTGGGTATTTCTGTAAAATACATGAAACTTCTAAGTTGGACATTGTGTACATTATATGCTGAATTTGTTTACTATCTTGCATCCATAACTGTGCTCCATCAACAGTTTTGGTGAGTGCACAGTAAGGGGGCTTGCACAGTGCCTCCTACTGCAGCCATAAGTGTTACTGTCTAACCAATGGGAAAGCTTCTTACATGAGAAGAGCAGCTGTGATTGGTTTAATTGTGTTTTCAGTGTACTCAAGGGCCTGAAAAGTCACAGAAAAGGTAGATACAAAAAGGGAAACCTTTAGGACAATGTTCAGGCCCAGAAGGGCCATGTTAAATGTAAATTGAGATGGTATTGCAAAATGAAAATACAATTTTAAAAAGAATTTGAAAATTCAGTATAAAAAGAAAATGGAAATGTAATAAAGTTTAAAAATTTTAAATGTGTGATTAGGAAAGGTATTTATAATCAGATTTGTTATTTAAATCGGATATTCGAATAGGATTTGAAGAAAAATGTTCAAATTCCAGTATTTAATAAAATTCACTGTAATATTCACTGTAATAATTTAATTTTAAATTTACAATTAGAAAATGCTTTTCAAATTGAAATATTAAATTTGAAATGGCTGTTTTTCTTTTACAGGGACTCTCTCTGTGTCCTCCATCATAAATATCTTACACAATCAAACCCCAAAGGGGGACATTTTATCCCCTTTGGTTTTGAAATGCTTGTAACTCTGTTACAATTAAACCCTGGTTTTCACGCTCACTTCACAACTTTTCCTAAAATGGATCCGACTTTTTTGTTTTGTTTTAGCTTTTAGTTCAAAAGCAGATCAGGTGAGAGAACAACTAGAGAGTTTAACTTGATCATGTGCCATATAATATTGATAGCAGTAATTCGCTCCGGTTTATGTATGAATGCAGCACAAAAAAGGACAGATGAAGCAGCCAGAATGAGGAGACAGAGGCAGAAAAAGAAGCTGGTAAGAAATTGTGAAGACAAGACCTGCTGCATGTGGCTTTTTTAGAAGCTTGACTTAAAATACTGTTTGGTTGCTCACAATATACAGTACAGTTTAAAGTTACTTTAGCTTGAATTTTGATCAATAACTGTGGATAAAATAGGTCCAATTGTCTAAAGGGGTGATGGACTGGTGACCTGTCCAGTGTGTACCTGCCTTTGCCTGATGAATGCTGGGTTAGGTTCTAGCCCTCCTGCAACCTAATAAAAGGACCAGGGGTTCAGAAAATAAATGAATGAATAAATGAATGAATGAATGAATGAATTAATTAATGATTGAATGCATCAAAGAGCAGTTTAACAATTTCTCTAAATTTTAAGAATGTTATTTTCGTAATCGAGTAGTAGTTTGAAGCTCAAATATCTGATCATTAAATGGTGTCTGAAGTCTGAATCAGCAGGTTTTGTTCTCCAGCGAGCACCAGCCTAGGATTAGTTCATTATTATTGCATTGGGGTTAGCAATCTGTGGGGCAGGGTTCAAATCCATGTCTCATAATGGACACATTTACCTTAGTTTGTTTTCTGCTTTTTAAGTTATGATATTTGAGGTAAATTAAGGTGAGGCCATACTAAAAAAATACTAATTAATATTAGTACTATTAGTGATGGTAAATAGCTTGGCAGGTGGTATTGTGGCCCCATCACTCCCTAATATGCTCAGATTTACATGTTTCTCTAATTACCCCTATAGGGTAAAACATGTAAAATTGAGAACAAAGAGGCATGTACAGTAACTATATCATTGTTTACAATATATGAGTATGTAAGATCAAGTTTCCACTTTTAAACAATCATATTTTTCATGCTGTACTGATCGATCTTCACACAGTAGCACAGAGAGGGAAACAAGAATGAGAACAACGCCTTCATTATAATGAAACATTTTTTTGTGCTATGCCCCTTATGATGAAAATATCTAGCTCTGCCCCTGCTTAGAGCCACAGGATGCTCAGGATCAAGTGGTTTAAAGGCAAACCGAAAAGGCACCGTTTTATTCCTTAAGTTAAAGACAGTTATTTCTATGTGTTTGTTCTCTCACAGGATGTTGCTGGGTGTTTAAAAACATTTTGCCTTATTGATAATTTATAGATCAGACCATAAGAAAATTTACTTAAGATTTCCTTTTTTGCAACTAAAAATCTGAACTGTGTTGCATTCATTTGTATATAGCCCCCTTTACTTTGATACTCTTAATTAAAATGCAGTGCAACAGATCACCTTTCAAATTGACATCACCTAAGCGCATTACAACCTTTTCTTTTGATAAAATGAACGTAAACATTTATTATTTTCTTTTCCTTCACAGTTAGGTAATACTTTCTTGGTTTTAGCTTCCCAATAAATTGCAATGATAAAAGAGTCATATAACACCAAGACAATATAAATTTGAATGTGTGTAGTAAAGTGTTACCGCTCTATAATGATAATAGATCTTAGTTATGATGTATCATTACTCCTTAAACCCTAGATTGGAGTCGTTACTTAACTGTGCCTCTCTACTGCTCTCTCTTCTCTGGCTAATCAGGTCTCTGCTCTTTTACGTCTACCAGGTGACAAGTTAATCTCTGTAAAGTGCCAAGTTAATGACTGCGCAGTCAATCCTCACCACCAAACCGGAGACAATCAATCTCCTCTCCCCCCCGCCTCACCCTCAAGCTGTCTTCTGCAGCACAAGTTGGAGTTTTTTTTAAATGTGGCATTCATCCAAAGCACATGGACCCTCGAGCAGCAGAGACGGAGAGCCAGCTTACAGTACAGATGGGATAAGTTTCATTTTGGACACCCACTCAAATTCTGAAAGAAACGATAAAGATGCCTCATTGCACCTTATTACCTCTGATGTTATGACAGAGCACAGCAAGCCTCAAAAGTTTCCCCAGACTTTCAGGCTGCAGCGTTTTATTAGAGATTGAAATGGGGTTCAGTTGCTGCAGGGTAGGAGTTTTTTCAACATCTAGCATTCATGTTTTATTAATTAGATGGAGTTTGATGCAGTGTCTTTGAAGAGATTAACATTGTATTTGCAAAAGTCCTTAACTAGCCAATGCAAATGGATATAAAGCAATTGACTGTGGTGTATAGATTAATTGCATTGATTCTCAAAAGTTTAAATGGTTTGCTGCATTTACAAATATTGGCTGGAGTCTGAAGCGTTTCTGACATTTAACTCTGCCTCTTAAGCACACCTGGATTAATGTGAGCAGACTGGAAGCGCTCAATATCACTCTGAATCCATGTCTGACACTTTAGAACAACAAACATCGATGATTCCTGTCTGGTTCCTCACCGATGCAGACGACATCCATGAAGCCGTACATGCCGTAGCATATCTGGAAAAGCAGGTCTTGGCGCTGCCAGCGAGCCGACGGGCTGAAAGAGGACCAGACCAACCAGGAGATGCTAGCCATCAAGAACAGGGAACCCAGTATGGCTGCTGCTATCTGCACTTTCTCTATCACAGTCAGGGAGATGGCCTGCCACTGCAAGAGGACACAACACACTTTAAGGCTTTATTTTTCTTTACAGGCCTCTGACTTCCCTGAAAAAACAAACAAACAAATGAAATAACAAAATAATAATAAATAATGAAATGAATAACCACTAGTTCAAAAGGAAATTAACTTATTTGGGACGTAAAACACTAAGAGAAAACATCAGATTTATCTGTTAAAGGTTTGGTCATGAGTCATACTTCCATAAAGGAAGTGGAAGTAGCAACAGAGAACTTTATAACTGATTAAATATGACAAATTATTTAGTTAAATCCAGGTTATTAACTGACCTGATTCTTAATGCAGTTTGCAAAACAATCAGATCATATTTATATCCAGGATTATATAATTACTATAAGGAAAATGTATGTAAGTAAATCACATACAATCAAATTCAATAAAATTTCCAAATGGAGTTAAAGTCTACTTTCATACACCAAAAAAGATTGACTACTGTACCTAAGGTAAACCAGCTAACGATGTTATGTCCACGACTTTACAGCAGGTACGTCCTTCTGAACCAGTTCATTTTTCTAATTCACTTAAGGTGAGAATTATAAACATAGACCTCACTATATAGACACAGTCCTGCATAGACATGTATATAGAATTGAATATAGAATTTTACTTTTATTGTCATTACACTGTCAAGTACAAACCAATGAAATTAATCCTCTGCATTTAACCAACCAGAGCTATGCCAGAAACTTGCTGGATGTGGTTTCTCTGCAGCTTGCAGTAGTGCATGTATCCAAATACTGTTATCATTTTTACACTCTGTAAAAAGAACAGTTTAAATGCATTCTGGAGGACCAAAAATAAAACATTTTTGCACATCATGATTATATGCCAACTTCCTATTTCACCAGATCTATTAACAAGTCCCAAACTGTCTTTCTGAAGTAACTTTTACAACAAAGTCACTCAATAACGCTCCCTAACACTACCAGAAGCTAAATCCAAGAGGAAACTGTTCTCTCTGTTTTAGGGATCAAAGAAGGAAAGACTTGTTCAATTCAAAAAGCCATTTTTTTTCCCTTTTCAGTTTATGATCAAAGCAAAACTAGAGCTGAAGCTTTTTTTTTTTTTTTTTTTTTTTACAGTGCCTGAAAACTGAGTTTTTAACGATTAACACCGACAAGCACTTTGATACGAAGGCAAAATCTGCTCCAAATTGAGACAAGGAAGAACAAATATTTTAACACCAAACATGCACTGTATTTGTTGGGGTGGTGATAGCATTATGTTTTTCTAATAATGCCTGATCTGTAAGCATTTGTGGAGAATGTGATCAAATCTGATAGGTGCTTTTGTGGAGGTGCTTTTTGCTTAGACAGCTTACCTGTAGTGGGTTCTTGGTGCTGATAGCAATGACCTGATATTTGTAGTAGCAGAGCTCACAGGCCCAGGAACCCCTCTCACTGATCCATTTGATGAGGCATGGCTGGTGGGTGCAGCGGACCGATCCGCTGCAGCGACACGGACTCAGGAGCTCTCCCTGCAGAGGAAACAAACATTTAGTCAGGAAGGGTTCCCAACAGATACATATATCTAGATGTTTGTTTCTTTAACACTCTGAACATCGGAATACAAATACCATCTTTCTGGATTTTATTATCTTTAAGTTCCAGAAATCTGATAGATACATTTGGTTCCTGTATTGAAAGTGTGCATGAATCTCACTGTTTGCATTTGGGGATTTTACGGCCAACATAATCAGCACTATTTCAAAATCCCTAACACTTTAACATGTAAAAGCTGTAAAAGTTTTCCTCAAAAATAATTATGCACTCCTCAAAGCTGAGTTTCTGATACGCTGGTGATGATTCTCAGTCATCTAGGTCATAGTCATTCCAAGAAGTTTAAAAACAAACCACTGGACTTTGTTTTCCAAGTTTGAAGACGTTTCGCTTCTCATCCAGAAGCTTTCTCAATTCAAAATGTCTGGATTAGCATTGAGTTCGAGATTTATAAAGTAGCCCAACGAAAGCCTTGTTATGGTTTAGAACAGGAGTCTTTAACGCTTTCCAGGCCAAGGACCCCCAAACTGATGGCAAGATGGAGCGGGGACCCCCTAATTATATATATTGTATGAAATTCTGTTAAATCAAACTGGTCCTATAGTCACTCTATTACAGATGGAGTCATTTAACGAAAGTATTTTAGCCCTGGGATTATTAGTTTATTTATTGTTTCTGATTTTGATTCCTGGTTGATGGGACAGGTGTTGTGAATGAAATGGTGCCCAGCTTGAAACAGCTCCTGTGTGTCGCTGAATGTGTGGATTGATGACTGAAAGACATCTTCTGCCTCCATTTATGTGATTACTAACAGATTTACTGTGTTGAATGCATGTTAATGTGTATCTAAAGACATTTCAATTAGTGGAAAAAATTTCAGGGGGCAATATAGAAAAAAATTCTCATGTCATTGAGCTACACCCAGTCATTCTATTACTGTGTGTTAAAGATAAATTATTGTATCCTAAATGTATTTATGAAATTCAGCCTGTTTTCATCCATACTTGTAGAACTGGATTTCGCTGTTCTAGATGTAAGTCCTTTAAAGTGGTATCAGTATTGTGATTTTTTCTCTCATTATCATAGGAGTACTGAAGATAAAATTTGAAGTCCAAAAATGAGACGTGTTTTTGGAATTGTTATTTTTTCCTATTTATTCTTACTGCTGTTTTTATAGGAAGCGTAATATACACAAATCATTTAGACAATGTGTTTACATGTAGTTATTGTGCCAACTATAGCTTCATGCTCATCCAGGAAGAGTACATACTGCGTCATCTTAAATAGAAAATATTTTACTAATTATAAACAGACTGCACTGATAACTGGAATCAATTTTAACTATATGTAGCTCTGAATCTGTATTGATGGGTGAAATTAACGTTTTATTTCTTAAGACGACATACAGAATGTTATGAATTAGCTCTATAAAGATAAATTAAAGTGAATAAATTTAAAACTGAGCAACTTAATGTAATTGGTGCCTGGGGTTTGCCATTACTTGGTAAAGTGTCCTTTGAAGACTTGGATTGTTTTTATGGGACTCTGATGTGCAGACTGCGACAAACTATTGCTCAAAAAGCCTGCAATGGATTTTTAAATGCTTTTATAATTGCTTTTATTGTTATCACCATAAATAACATAAAATATTGTGATAAGCTTTTAGGTCCATGTTGTGGAACCCTATATTAGGGTGCGTATTTCTATCAGCTTTTCAGATGTAAAAACCTTCCTTTACACAGCGGTCTACGTCTACTTATACCCAGCTCACCTATCCTTCATAGTGAGTCACACTCTTTCAACCCCACCCTCCCTTATCCCAAGCCTCACCTCACCTCATCTATCTTCCTCCTCTTCATCCTATCAACCTCATCCCTACTTTCAATTCTCATCATTCTCCTCTTCAAAACAAACATTTTCTTCTCTTTTCATTGCACGTTTATCCAGACTTTAGGTTTATTTTCAGGCTTGTGTATGGGAGTGTATGGGAACCCCAATGGATTCAGCAATTTTTTTTTTAGAATCACCTGGAGAAGAAAATGTGTTGTGGATAAATTTAAAACATGCTGTACTTCCTGGTTATGTAAAGCTTGACTGAAGCCTGTGATTCAGAGCAAGACGCTGCCTACAGTAATCACTGACAGGCAAACAACAACAAGTTTTCTCATCTTATTTACTCAGCCCATTATTACCCACCTACATGTAATATCCTGAATCGCTAGATTACAGATATATATCTTAACTCCGGCTTATTGATTTCACGAGGGCTTTCACTGCGCTTTAGATACAGGAAGACACATACTCCCATATATAGAGCAAGCTGCCGCCTGCAGCACAATTCAGGTGTGAAATGAAAGATTTGCCTTACACCTACTTGACAGGCAAGATACTTGATTACTGCTACAGTTGAATATGCAGGATTAGCCACATAAAGCTTTATAAAGCTCAACTAAGCTTAACTAATCTGTAAAATACTGTGCTAAACTTGCACTGATTCAGCAGCTTGTTAAATGAATGAAGTGTTTGACGAAGCATTAAAACCAGTGACAGATAAAGAACAAAGGACTGGTTAGGAGTTGCACAATGTGACTGAATATATGGTCTCCAGTAGGACATTTTACATCATGACTGCAAATGCTGTTTTGAAACATGACAGTTGGCAGATCCAAGAGTCATTAAGCATCAGACAGGGGAGCGGAGATTTGATTAGTCCAAATAGGTTACGGTCATGTAAAAATTAGACCATGAAAAATCCTTTTTGGAATACAATGTGCTACAACTCCTCTAATTTAACTGAGAAACAAACAAAACTATTAGGGGGCAAATATTTCAGCTACAACAACCTGTTCGTATCCAGGCTTCATTGATCCCTTATCTTGAAAGTATTTTCCTGCTGCAACTTGGAAAAGTTACCCAAATCTATCAGATTGTGAGGACATCTCTTGCCTAAAGCACCCTTCAGGGTATCCCCACAGATATCTTTCAGATGTAGTTCCCCTGCAAAGCAGAAAAACCTATGTTCCTCCCATGAAGTCATTCCCTTTTGGATTTTGAGATATGCTTAGACTTAATGTTATGCTAAAAAATACAAATCCTCTTTATCTCTGCTATGCATAACTTCATTTGCCTTTTGCGAAAGAAAAAGGTCCCATCTGAAGGATGTACTGTATTGGGATCATTTTGTCCCTTTATTTCTGTTTTTTGTGGACTTAAAGAATTAATATTGTAAAAGGGTTCATCAAGGAAAACAAAATACAACAAGTGAACTTAATATGGGTTAATCAGATTTACTATAACTGACAACATTAAGTTAGTTATTCTTTTTTAAGCCTTTCAAAATCAAGTATATCATAAAATTATGCATTTAGCACCATGGTGTACACGTTTGTTAAAGAATATGGTTGTTTACTGGCTAAGTGCTGGCTAAATATCTGTTTCATTAGTTTTTTTCTGGTAACATATGTTCACTCATTTTAACAGGACAGATAGAGGGCGCTCAGACAGCAGAAACCATGAGGATAAAGTTTATTATATACTCCATGAGGGGTAAGATGTTTTTTCTTCTTGCTCTAACAGCAGTAAGAACAAAATGGCGTTACTTTGTTTTGCAGCATTGTCTTGGGGGTCTTTTTGCTAGTTCTCCACTGACTTGTCTGGACAAAGCTTTTTTGTGGTTGTGTGCCTGAGAACAGTTGCACAATTGTTTAGGATTTGGATTGTCATTGTTAGTGAGGAACACCAAAACAGATTTTTTTCAGGTAATAAATAAAAGTGGGTAATAAAACAGTGGAGTTTTCCTCTCCACTGTCGCTACAAGCATGCTTGGTGTGAGGGATTGCTTTTGAGTCAATGGGAGATGCAATCAGCTGGTTTTCCTTAGTTGGAAAACTGAACCAATCTGACTGTATGATCTGGTTGACTTGTCTCTGTAAAGTGCATTGAGATGGCATGTGTTGTGAATTGGTGCTATATAAACTGAATTCAATGAAATTGAAATTGAATTAAATGATAGGTGAGCATATTTTAATATTCATATTTCACTTTTTCATTCATCTTTAGCCAGGACTTTTTGGTCTGGCTGCAACCACTGAAAAACAAAACACTGGTACTGGTAGATTATTTTACTAACTCTAACCCTGAGACGTCACTCTTACATTTCACTAAAAAAAAGAAAAAAAACTGGTTCTATTGTGTTTAATTTATAGTGCTTTCAGGTGATGGTTAAAGTTGTCAAAACATGTCATTGCTTCCATCCTTTGGGTCGGTGAGTTGAGAAAAATTTGGGTATATTTTTTCCATAACATCAAGGCCTCAGAAAACCTTCAAAATATATTTTTTATATTATATTCACTTCTAACCAAACTGCTCCAAGGCTTATTATCTTCAGACAGATAAAAGTCTTTCAGCAAATTTACATCACCGTAAAGTTTTAAACTCTCAAATTAAAACCCCAGGCTTCAATGTATTCCAATAAGTTGAGGGAGAGATCACCATAGTTATGTGGTGGAGTGTTAATTGTAAAGCAGAAGGAACACTTTCCCTCTGATCTGATCTGATTTTTTTATGCTCTTTGCTATGATACCCTTAAATGCAACCCTGTGAAGTGAACTGAAGTAACTTTGGAGGAGCAGCAGAAATCAGTAGCTCAAATATGAGAATTTATTCATAGAACCAAGAGATTTCTGAGAGCAACTTTCCTAACTTTCAAGGTACATGAAGAGGGTCAGCAAACTGGTGAGGAGAAAATTTCAGCAACACTTGAAGTACTTGGTGTTAGAGTTCTGGTTCAATTATGTTTTTCTTTGGATGTTAAGTTTTGCTTTGCTCCTTGTTTTCTAGTTTTTATGGTTTAATTCTTATTTAATTGTTTTCTTTGGTTTTTCTCACTTACTGTCTTGGTTCTGTTGTTTTCTTTTGAGTTTTCAGTTTTGCTTTACTCCTTGTTTTCTAGTTTTTGTGTTTTAAATCTTATTTTGTT